GATGATCATGTAATTTTTATCCTTCATTTTGTTTATGTGGTGTCCACATTGATTTTCTAATTTGTAGATGTTTAATAGTCCTTGCATCCCTGGAATTAACCCATTGAGATCTTTTTAAGGTTTGCTAAATATTTTGTTGAGGATTTTTGCATCTATTTTCACCATTGATATTGGCCTATAATTTTCTTATGGTGACCTTGTCTGATTTTGGTACAAGGGTAATGCTGGTCTCATAAAATGAATTTGGAAGTATTCTCTCCTCTTCAGTTTTTGATAGAGTTTGAAAGGATTGGCATTAATTCTTGAATGTTTGATAGATTTCATCAGTGAAGACATCTGATCCTTGACTTTGGTTTGTAGGGAGTTTTAAATTACTGATTCAGTCTCCTTACTAATATTTGGTCTGTTCAGATTTCTATTTCTTTATGATTCAGTCTTAGGAGATTGTATTAGGACTTTATCAATTTATTGTCCAACTTGTTGGCATATAATTTTTCATAGAATTCTCTTATTTTTCATGCTTCTGTGATATCAGTTGTAACATGTCTTTTATTGCTTTTATTTTTGAGCCCTCTCTCTTTTTCATTAGATTTTTAGTGACCTTCACATACCCAGAGGCATATTAATCAATCATTAGTTCATTACATATCATCATTGGTCCGTGCCTGCATGGATTTCTTATTTATTTTTAATAAGACAAGTAAGGATCGTGAACCTACCACACAGTATAAAAGCCCAGACTTTAACCAAAACGTATATAGCTCTGTGGTCTTTTCCAAGCCTTTCCTTCTTCAAGCACTTAAAACTACAAAATTAAGTGCTGTGCTATGATGTGACAGGGCTAACCTAAACTGAGAATTCAAGGATGGCTCCATGTGGAGGTAATGTCTGAGTTCCGGGAAGGTGAAGAGCCCTGAGGAACAGAGAGGAAGAAACCAGAAATGTGATAAAATTAAAAAGGAGGCAATGCTTAAGAGAACAGTCACCAACCTTTCGGACCTCACGGACCACCGGTTGGCAACTGCTGCTTTAAGAAGTCAGGCTCCTTAGCATCACATGACAAAGACTGCAAGAGTAGTTTAGAGCTGATTTGATTTCTGATTTGATCCACAGGGCTCTTACCTGGAGTGGAGGTCCTCATTCTCCTTCCAATGGATCTTGACTGGCATCTCCACTCCATTATCCCTTTTGCAGGGCAATGATCCAGTGAGGTGTCAAGTGAATACTCTATATCTAGTTGCCACATGGACATATAAGTGGATCCACATAGGGCAAACCAATGTTGTTCAAAAGTCAGCTGTATAATCTAAGTTGGCTTCTGACAGTCCATGCGTAATGCAGTACACAAGTGATCATGCATATTTTACGTGTCAATTGTCTAACACCCACCTGATTAGTATGCTCAGCCTTCAGGGCTTATGTTCATGACCACTGTTTATACCTATAAAACTTATATTGAACATTGTTGTGTTACTGTGCTAGGGCTGCCATAACAAAATACCATACATGGCGTGGCTTAAACAAATATTTATTTCTCACAGTTCTCTAAGATCAAGGTGTCAGCAGCATTGGTTTCTCCTGAGCTTCTTTCCTTGGTTTGCACTCAGATGGCCATCCCTTATATCACACATCCCTTTATCTCTTCTTACGAGGACACCAGTCCTATTGGGTTAGAGCCCTGCCCTTATGACCTCATCTAACCTTAATTACCTCTTTGGAGGCTCTGTTTCCAAATGTAGTCCCATTGGGAGATAGAACTTTAACATATGAATTCTGTCTTTAACAACTGTCAATCCCCCATCCACTTTAAAGTAAAGCAACTCTTTCCTCCTAGCAGTCTTCCATGTTGAAGCCAGAAAGCTTACTTAAAAGCTAACCTATTGGTGTCAAATTCCCAATATTAAGTCCTATGATGGTGCCCTCAGCTTTCAATACAGTTCAGATTGCTTAAATTAACCCATAAGCATCTATGGCATTGACATCTTAATCAACTCTGGTCTTAAATTCTGCTATGTACAAGCCACCCACCACACACACTGCCTTTTCCCCCTCTGCCTGCCTCCCCTGCCCTGTCTCCTTCCCCCCGCCACCCCCTCACTCCCAAACCCCACTCCCCCCCACACACACTGAGCTGCTGCTTTATGGAAGTGATTACAACTTTCCAATGTCAGGTTTTGTTCTGTGGGTTTTCATCTGCTCTTTTATCTATCTATTGCATTCTTAAAATGGATTTGAGAAAGAGAGAAAGAGAGGAAGAAAGAGAGACATCAATTTATTGTTCCACTTACTTATGCATTCATTGGTTGATTCTTTATGTGCCCTGATGAGAGATCAAACCTGCAACCTTGGCATCTCAGGACAACATTCTAACTGAGCTACCCATCCAGGACTACTCTCAGTTCCATCTCCTAAGCAAGTAGCTCTGTGTGAGCTGTTGTGGATCCTGCCTGTGCGGATGATCATAGGGCATTTTTCTTATTGATTTGCTCACCTGTCACAACTGGTCCTGGCTACTGAGCTGTCTTGCTAATGATCATGACCCAAACTTTTTTTTTTTTTTTTGCTTTGGTACATTTATATATTGTAATATGCTTGCCACTGTACCATTATTTATCACATAATGTAATTGTATTATATTATCTATATTTATAATGTGTTACAATACTGTGCTATACTGATCTCTATGGCTTATTTACATTCATTGTAAGTTTTTTACTCTTAAACATTGATCTTATCTCCCTCTCTACCCCCAACACCTATTCTTGGGTAACTATTATACCCTGTTTTTTATAAGTTTGACTTTTTTAGATTCCACATATAAGTGATATCATACAGTACATTGTGTCTTTCCCTGTCTGCTTTACCTCATTTAGAATAATGTGCTCAAGGCCCATCTATATTGTAAATAGCAGGATATCTTCCTTTCACATGACTAAATCATATTCCAGTGTGTATATATATATGTGTGCCAGATCTTTTTAATCCATACATCTGTTGATGAGCACTTAGGTTGTTTCCTTATCTTGGCTATTGTGAATAATGCTGCAATAAAGTCGGAAGTGCCTATATCTCTTAAAAACCTTGTTTTCATTTCTTCTAAGTATCTACCTAGAAGTAGAATTGCTGGATTGTTAATGATAGGTCTACTTTCTTTTCTTTTTCTTTTTCTTTTTTCTAATGGCAGATCTACTTTTAATTTTTTTAGGAACCTCCATATTTTTTTCAAAGTGGCTAGACCAATTTACATTCCCACCAACAGTACACAAGGGCTCCCTTTTCACCACATCTTCACAGCACCTTCGCTTTCTTGTCTTCTTGATGAAAGCCATTCTGACAGGCAGGAGGCAGACACCTCACTGTGGTCTTGCTTCGCTTTTCCCTGATGATTAGTGATGCCGATGCCTTTTCGCGTGCCCTTTTGCCGTCTTGATGTCCTCTTTGGAAAAACATCTATTTAGTTTATGTACATTTTTTTAATTCGATTTGTTTGGTTTTTGTTATTCGGTTGTATGAGCTCTTTATATATTTTGCATATTAACCCCTTATCTGGCATATGGTTTGCAAATATCTTCTCCTATCCTGTAGGTTGCCTTTTCATTTTAATTGTTACTTTTGCTGTGTAAAAACTTTTGAGGATATAGCCCCCTTTGTTTTTGTTGTTTGTGCTTTGAGTGCCATGTCCAAAAAAATCATTGCCAAGACCAATGTTGAGGACCCTTTCCCCTACATTTTAATCTAGGAGTTTGTGGTATTAAGTCTTACATTTAAGTCTTTTATCCATTTTAAGTTAATGTTTGTGAGTGGTATGATATAGGGATCCAGTTTTATTAGTATGCATGTGTTCCTCTAGTGTTCTCAACACTATTTGTTGAAGAGACTATCCTTTACTCATTGGGTGTTCTCAGCTTCTTTATCAAATATTCGTTGACTGAATATGCCAAGATTTAATTCTGGGCTATTCAGTTTCTTCAGTCTGTAGGGTCTATTTTTGTGCTTATTATTATTTGGAAATGATAATAATAATCACAATTAATCAATCATTAGTTCACTACATATTCATCATTGGTCTGTGCCTGCATGGATTTCTTGTTTATTTTTAATAAGACAAGTAAGGATCATGAATCTACCACACGGTATAAAAGCCCAGACTTTAACCAAAACGTATATGGCTCTGGTGTCTTTTCCAAGCCTTTCCTTCTTCAAGCACTATTTGCTGAAGAGACTCATTGGGTGTTCTCAGCTTATGAGAACATAATACTGTTTTTATTACTATGGTTTTCTACTATAGAAAGTATGACACCTCTGGCTTTGTTTTTGTTTTTGTGGGTTTTTTTTTTTTTCAGGATTGTTTTGATTATGTGGTTCCACACAAGTTTTAAGATTGTTTCTATTTCTGTGAAGAATGTCTTTAGTATTTTGATGGAGATTGTGTTGAATCATGGCTTTGGCTCATATGAACATTTTACCAATATTAATTCTAACAATTCGTGAACACATGATGTCCCCACATTCATTTGTGTCTTCTTTGATTTCTTTCATCAAAGTTTTGTAGTTTTCATTATATAGATTTTTCACTTACTTGATTAGGAAAAAATTTGTTTTATTGTGAATGGGATAGTCTTTATTTCTTGTTCAGATTAGTATAAAGTAATGCAGCTCACTTCTGTATGTTGATTTTGTATCCTGCAACTTTACTGAAATTGTTGATTGGATCCAACAGCTTTTTTCACTAACTCTTTTGGATTTTCTCTATATAAAATCATACCTTCAGGCTCACTTGCTGATCTGGCGGCTGGTGACTAGTAGGCGTGGAGCAGGCACCTATGGCGATGGAAAACCCAGTTATCAAAATTGGCTCCAGGAAAGAGAACCTAACATCTATTAACAATGGAAAAATTTGAGAACATTACAAAAAAAAGCCACCATTCCTCAAAACACCAGGCCCAGATGGTGTTACAAGTTAAAAAAATCCTTCATGAAGAAGACGGATTTTAAACCACATGATGGATTCAGAAGCTCATAAAAAGAGGTCGCCAATCATAACATCTTCAAAACAAGAGATAGCAACTCATAATACAGATGTTGGTGGAATTAAACCTTATATGTGTGGCTGCGGTGCAGCTGTAAGCAATGTAGCATTCACATATCCCATTCAGAAGGTGCTCTTTCGGCAACAGCTGTATGGAATCAAAGCCAGGGATGCAATGCTTCAGGTGAGGAGGGATGGATTTCAAAACTTGTATCGTGGAAGTCTTCCCCCATTAATGCTGAAGACAGCGTCATTAGCACTTATGTTTGGTGTGTATGAGGATTTAACTTGCTTTCTCCGTAAGTATATCCGTACCCCACAATTTGCAGCCCATACCATGGCAGCATTACTTGCAGGGACAACAGAAGCAATTTTCACTCCATTGGAAAGAGTTCAGACACTGCTTCAAGACCAAAAAAATCACGATAAATTTGCAAACACTTACCAGGTTTTCAAGGCACTGAAATGTTATGGAGTTGGAGAGTATTATCGAGGCTTGATACCTATTCTTCTCCGTAATGGGCTCAGCAATGTCCTTTTTTTTGGCCTCCGAGGTCCTATTAAGGAGCAACTCCCTGCTGTAACGACTCGCAGTGGTCACGTGGCCACTGATTTTATCTGTGGAGGACTGTTGGGTGCCATGTTGGGAGTCTTATCTTTTCCAATTAATGTTGTAAAAATTCGCATGCAGTCTGAAATTGGTGGGGAATTTCAGTCTTTTCCCAAGGTTTTCAAAATAATCTGGTTGGAACGAGACAGAAAATTGACAAACCTTTTCAGAGGTGCCCATCTAAATTACCACCGGACCATCATCTCTTGGGGCATAATCAATGCATCTTATGAATTCCTGTTAAAGGTTATATGAAAGAAATAATCAACTAAGTGCCGTTTACCAATTGACTAGACCTTCAACGAAGAATGTGGTTTGGCCTCATTCCTAATTGGCCAAATGTATTTGTTGGTATAAATTCAGGGCACAATGAATTATGGCAAAGCTGTTTCCTTTAAGCACCAACAAATTCAGAATAAAAGGTTTCAATAGGAAAATTTAAGGATTCGGGGTTTTTGTTTGTTTGTTTGTTTGTTTAAAATATGTTTCTATTGATTTTAAAGAGAGGACAGGAGAGAGAGAGAGAGAGAGAGAGAGAGAGAGAGAGAGAGAGAGAGAGAGAGAGAGAGAGAGAGAGAGAGAGAGAGAGAGAGAGAGAGAGAACGAACATCAACGATGAATGAGAATCATCAGTTGTCACCTCCTGCAAATCTACTACTAGGGATCAAGCCCTGGGCCCGATGCCTGGTACCCGAGCATGTGCCGGGAATTGAATGGCAATCTTCTGGTTCCTGAGTCAATGCTCAATCACTGAACCACATCGCCCAGGCTGTTTTGTTTAGTTTTGTTCTCATTATTACCTGAGAACTTTGGGCTAATTGCTTGGTTAATAGCTGTCTATCTGATGGACGGCTTTTGATGAGGAAACTAATAGCCAAGATGGTCTTTTTCCCCAAAAGTCTTTAAATCTTCTGTATTAAAATGTAAGTGGCCATGACCAGCCAGAGAAAAGGCTCCTAGGGCCCCTTTAATTTGGCAGGCTTTCTCTTATTACTCCATTTCTTGCTTCTCTCCTCTTAGGAGGAGTTGCAAAGTATAGTTTTTGCTAAACTGAAGCATATACACAAGGAGCACGACAGATAAGAAAGCTTAATGGGCGTAAGCTTTTCATGTTAAATTGCTTGCATTAGTTTTGAAATACCTTTTGGGATAGTCATTATCCATGCTGCTTCTATTTAGGCATGGTAGATTCAAGCAGCTAATGAAAGCTCCCATTTACTTTCCAGATTTGAAAGTTTCTGTCTAGTTCTGAATGTGACCTTCAACCTGTCCAAAATATCCTTGTGTTAATTTCACTTATTCCATTGCCATATGGTGGGGAGACTTAAATTTTATCATGGGCATTTCATCTTATTAAGTGTCATATCTACACTAATAAAATAGAAATATATAAATTGACCATCACTTCGCAAATGCCCACCAGCCAATTAGCAAACAAAGATGGCAGTGGCCACAGAGCCAGCCAGAGCAAGCAGGAAGCTTGGGTCGCCCCTTGCAATGGAGAAAACCAAGCTTCCCGCCCACCCAGACTGGCCACCGAAGGAAGGGCCTGTGAGCAGAGGACACAGAGCCAGCCCAGGTGCACAGGAGGCTTGGGTCACCATTGCCCAGACCAGCAGCCAAGGGAAGGGCCTGCAAACAGTCCTCAGCCCCTTACCCAAGCTGGCCATGTTCTCATGGGGTAAGGAGTCCCCACAAATAGCCATCAGCTCCTCACCCAGGCTGGCCAGGTACCCCAGTGGGGACCCCACCCTGAAGGAGGTGTGGCCATCCTGAAAACTGCCCTCAGCCCCTCACCCAGTCTGGCCACGCCCTCTCAGCAGGAACCCTCACCCCATGTGGGTGTGGCTGGCCTGCAAACTGCCCCAGACCCTTGCCCAGGCCAGCACTGTCCCCAGTGGGTACCCCTACCCCAATGGGGGCATAACCGGACTGCAAACCACCACAGGCCCCTTGCCCAAGCCACCCCACCCCCCAAGGGAACCCCGACCCTGATCTATGATACCCTGCAGGACAAGCCAGCTGGCCCCCACCCATGTACCAGGCCTCTATCTATACTAATAAAAAGGTAGTCTGCTAATTAGACTGGGAGACCTTCCAGGAGACCTTCCAGATGTTCTTCTGGACAAAGCCATGGTGGCAAACCAAGGTAGAGCCAATTAGGGGCTAAGAGGGGAGGTCAGTTGGGGGTGAGCAGGCCAGGATGGGAAGGCAGTTGTGGGTGATCAGATGGGGGGGGGGGCAGTAGGGGGTTATCAGGCTGGAGGGGGCAGTTTGGGGCAAGCAGGCCAGCGGGGGGGGGGGGGGGGTGGCGGGCAGTTGGGAGAGAGGTCAGCAGGCAGAGTGGTTAGGGGTAATCAGGCAGGCAGGTGAGCGGTTAGGAGCCAGTCCTGAATTGCAAGAGGAATCCCAGATTGGAGAAGGTGCAGGCCAGGCTGAGGGACACCCTCCCCATGTGCAAATTTTGTGCACCAGTCCACTAGTTAATTATATAAGAATCAAACTCTCTTTAGATGGATTTCTTTGAATTATTGTTGCCAACTTAGCAAAAAGTTTGGGGTTTTTGCCCTTTAGGTACTAGTTCATCTTACCAAGTATTCTGTTCTCTTGAAACACCTTTTAAAAAATACTTCCATACAATTTTATTTTAAAAGTTTACTTAATAGGAGCCCAGATTTTTCTTTCTTTCTGGTTTCTCAATGTTTTGGGGGAGAGGGGGAAACTCAGGAAAGCTTTCATCCCACAATGTTAGCTATGTGTTGTTGTTTTTTTGTTTGTTTTTGTTTAGCTTTGGAAATAGAAACTTCATTTTATCATTAAAACAGTTTGAGATGATAAGATCTAAATAAAGATATTTGAAGAGTTAATTTTAAATTTCTAGAAGTTGGAAATAGCTGGATAGTCATCCCTTACCTAACAAAAATGTATTTTTTAAAGGAATCAGATTTTAAAATTTATTTTCCCAATAAGGCAAAATGATTCATACAACAGTTGAATGATTAATAAAACACGAAACATCCTAGAAAAGTGGTTTATTTTTAAAAAACCTACATCTGTAAATATGTAGTTACAATTGCTTTCCAGCATCTGACATAGCAGAGTAGTCAGGTTTCTTATTACCAGTTTTTCAGCAGTCTGGATAATTGCATATGAAAATGTGCACATAATGATTAAAATAAAATCAGGGTCTCAATTATTCCATTTCTGGGCAGATAGCGCAAAACAGATGTTTACCTCTACATGCAGTATGGCTGGTCAAATAAAAGGATCATCCTTCTTCCAACCAAAAGGATTAGGAAGCATACTCAAGTGTTTGTTAGGCAATAATCAAGCTCGGAGATTTACAACAGCTCTGTTTGATAATGTTGTGCTAAAAATGGCAGTTGACTTTAGCAACCAAGATGCAGAGGTAAGGATTTCAGAAAACTGTCACCAAATACACGTAACATCCTTTGACGTATCAAATAGAGTCAAGAGTGAGGATTGGAAATGGTTCAGAAATAAATGACATTGGTACCTGACCCCTCATGTGTGTCTGTGCCCCTGAGTACTGCTTGTCTAGGTGCCCAGCATGTGGCAGGCGTGTTAGCCTGAGGTCAGGCGCTGGCCCTGGGAGTGGACTCTGCCCGCCTTTGGTTCTGCAGGGCTTGCTTTTGTCTTTACACTCCATGCAGGTAGTAGAAACCTAACTTCTAAAGCACTTTGTAAAATACAAGTGAAGTGAGAATGTGAAGGAGGATGGTTTGGTTTCTGCTGTCTCAGTCTTCAGCAAATAAAAATTTGACTTCTGCCAAAACTGGTTTGGCTCAGTGGATAGAGCGTTGGCCTGCAGACTGAAGGGTCCCAGGTTTGATTCCGGTCAAGAGCATGTACATTGGTTGTGGGCACATCTCCAGTGGGGGGTGTGCAGGAGGCAGCTGGTCGATGTTTATCTCTCATCAATGTTTCCAGCTTTCTATCCCTCTCCCTTCCTCTCTGTAAAAAAATCAATAAAATATATATATTAAAAAATTATAAAATGTTAAATTTTTTTTTACTTCTTTTTCAATTTAGATGACTTTTATTTCTCTTTTTCTTACCTAAATGTTTTAGCTAGGACTTCTAGTACTATATTGAATAGGGGAGGTGAGAGAAGGCATCCTGTTTCTGATCTAAAAGTAAAAGCCTTCAATTTTTCTCCATTGGGTAAAATGTTAGCTGTGGGTTTGTTGTATCTGGCCTTTATTATGTTGAGATATGTCCTTTCTATACCGAATATGTTTTTTTTAATATATTTTATTGATTTTACACAGAGGAATTGAGAGGGGAGGGATAGAAAGTTAGAAACGTCGATGAGAGAGAAACATCGACCAGCTGCCTCTTGCACACCCCTCACTGGGGATGTACCCGCAACCAAGGTAAGAGCCCTTGACCAGAATCAAACCCGGAACCCTTCAGTCCGCAAGCCAACGCTCTATCCACTGAGCCAAACTGGTTTCGGCTATACCTAATATGGTAAAGCTGGTTTTATTTAATCATGAAAGGATGTTGTATTTGTCAAATGCTTTCTCTACATCTATTGAGATAATCATGTGATTTTCATCTTTCATTTTATTGATCTGAAATACTACATTGAGTTGCATATGTTGAACCATCCTTGCATTCCAGGGATAAATCCCACTTTGGCATTTTGTATAATCCTTTCTATGTGTTCTTAAATTTGGTTTGCTAATATTTTGTTGAGAATTTTTATATCTATATTCATCGGGGTAATTTGTCTGTAGTTTTCTTTTTTGTGTGGTATCCTTATCTCGTTTGGTATTAAGGTAATGTTGGGTTTGCAGAATGAGTTTGAAAGTGTTCCTCCTCCTTGATATTTTGGAAGAGTTTGAAGAAGATTAATTCTTCTTTAAATGTTTGGAAGAATTCACTAGTAAAAGCCTTCTAGTCCTGGGGTTAATTACTAATTCAGTCTCATTACTAGTTATTAGTATGCTCATATTTTCTGTTTCTTCTTGATTCAATCTTGGTAGGTTGTGTGTTTCCAGAAATGTGTCTATTGGTTATGTAATTTGTTGGAATATAATCTATAATACTATTGTAAAAGGGTAATATGCAAATTGGACCAGACGCCCTTTCTAATGAAGCCAGGGCTGGAGGGAAGCCAGCCCGGGTCCTGGGTGCCTGTGGGTGGCCCGAGGGAAGCCAGCCTGGGTCCCTGGGTGCATGCAGGTGGCTGGAGGAGGGAAGAAGCTAGTGTCCTGGGTGCCTGCGGG